TTCTTTAACGGGGGTCCTACAATCACGAGCACCATCTGCTGAGGTAACGGGAGGTAAAAAGGACACGAGGGTGGGCTGGGCCGAGACGGTCGTTGGCGCTACTTTAAAAGAGGAAAGGATGATTGCGGGTGCATACCAAGGTAAATTTTTATAATAACAGAGCCGGATTTTGATTAGCGATCTAGAATGTAAATAGTTTCTTATTTTGGTACTCAGCAAGTGATCATTTAGTATTTTTCATCCGTTGTTACTGTTCGTCGATATTGTGATGTTGAATTGTTGTTGTTGTGATTGTTCTTGAGTGCCTTTTTTTATCAAGGCTGATAATGGACAATAAAGGGTCATACGCGATCATTTTAATTACGAACGCAGTGAGTTTAATTCACGATGAGGTCAAAAATAGTGTGGGGCTAAGTACATTGGGGTAAGCGAATAAATTATTGCAAGAAGAGGTCATAGCGTGGAAGATGTGTTGCAGCTGTAGTGAGCCACAATACCCAGCGGCCTGTAGATGTGGTCTAAATACATTTGCGTTCTAAGCTTAGTCCAACCTCGCTTATCGCTAAGATGGAACAAAGACTCAAACGCAAGAACCTTGAAAAGAAACTCGGACCAAAAAAAGCTGATACAAAAATAACTAACAATTCGGATACCTCTTCGCATTTCTGTTACAGTTCCTACAATTAGAGTGCTTCAGCCAGTAATATATGATGGTCGATGTGGTGTTTCTAGAATTTAGTATCAGGATCGCAGAAGCGACGAGAGGTCATTATAAGAATTCAAGTTTCCCGCGAATTTTATATCAGGAGCGGACTGCAGATCTAATAACTCTTCGCATTTCTGTTATCCTGATAGCAAACCCCAGTTCCTACAATTAGAGTGCTTCAGCCAGTAATATATTATGGTCAATGTGGTGTTTCTAGAAATTAGTATCAGGATCGCAGAAGCGACGAGAGGTCATTATTAGAATTCAAGTTTCCCGCGAATTTTATATCAGGAGCGGACTGCAGATCCAATACCTCTTCGCATTTCTGTTATCCGGATAGCAAACCCCAGTTCCTACAATTAGAGTGCTTCAGCCAGTAATATATGATGGTCGATGTGGCGTTTCTAGAAATTAGTATCAGGATCGCAGAAGCGACGAGAGGTCATTATAAGAATTCAAGTTCCCCGCGAATTTTATATTAGGAGCGGACTGCAGATCCAATACCTCTTCGCATTTCTGTTATCCGGATAGCAAACCCCAGTTCCTACAATTAGAGTTATTCAGCCAGTAATATCTGATGGTCGATGTGGTGTTTCTAGAAATTAGTATCAGGATCGCAGAAGCGACGAGAGGTCATTATTAGAATTCAAGTTTCCCGCGAATTTTATATCAGGAGCGGACTGCAGATCCAAAGAAAATAAATAGTTTTATGGCGAATTCAATCAAAAACCTGACATTAACTACATTGATTTAGAGGTTGCTAAGCGAAAATTTTTAGGGAAACTTAAAAAAAGTGACGACAAGATTTTGCAGATCGAACAAGTCACCAAATCACAGGACTGTACTTTGTCGCGGCTTCATCGGAGGATAAGGTTGACAGCATCTCGATTTGATGAAGTTTGTAGAAGGCAGACAACAAGCTGTAAATGTTCTAGTAAACTCCATCATATACCAACCGAGTTTTCTAGTAACGCAATAAAAAAGGCAATACAAAAATCATTTCACACCGCAGTTCAGTCTTGTGGTTTGTCTATTGATCGCACACATCCATTTCTGGCAGCATCGCCTCCATCTATCTATTACAGTAGACAAGAAATGTACCTAATCCAGGTATAAGCCTACCTGTTTATTGCTTTACAAAACTACCTAACTGTTTCCTCTTATTTTGACGGCATAAGATATTTTTATGACTCTCATTCAATTTTTACCATGTACCACATGACCCTTGTAAACATAATTGTGTTTACTGACATGAATAAACGAATTGTAATTTGAGTTCTTGAATTTACTTTAGGAAAGTTATCAAATTATTTGAATACATTTTTTCCTAGTCGGAACGCACCGTCGCGTCGCTTGGACTCGCAGGACGAAACAGTAGACGAATTTCGCCCAAAAACCGATTTGCACTTCACAGCGTACGTTTCATTTTTTATTATTTCCAAATGAAACTCTTGCAGGGTGCTAAAAGCAAAGTCCACAGGGTGCTAACGATCCTTTTTTTCGATTTTATCCACTAGTATCTTTTTAAAATATCAAGAAGTTGAGCACAAATAGTAAGCATTTCAACCCACCATAATTCTTGCGCAAAGACAAAATTTTGTAAAACGCTCTGATAGCACCTTAGGCAATTATGTCCTGCTTATATCCAGAAAAACATCACAAACTTCAGAACACAAACTGAACGTAACGGCGAAATGGGTACATTTCACGGGTCATGAAATTCAAATGGAAATGCAGGTATAAAATCTACCAAATTATCGTTCTGAAAAACATATTTCCTTGACATATCGATAATCCTGAAGTTCCACTCTAAATTCCGCTATCCTTGACTGGAGTGATATCCGAATTCATTCTTCCCTACTGTCGGCAGTTACAGATAAATCTGTTGGCTCTTGGTGTCAAACGTATAGAGCAGGTACCGATTTTTTCAAATCGTGAGCACATTATTCGTCGGATTCTCGTTACTTAAATTTCCTGTAATCACTGGAATCAGAAGCTTCTTAATAATAGAACATGTTTGAAGGATATCAAAGATGCAACACTTAGAATCACCTCCCCCAACCCCCACTTTTTAACCAGTGCACTTTTTTTCTGTCAATGATAAGGAACCCCTGTAACGTCAAAAACACGGAGTTTCAGCAATTGTTACTTTTCTTTTTTGCCTATAGCACCGTTGCCACTGGACTAATACTACAAAGCTTTGGCATACTAGTAACCCCCGTGTGGAAATTTCATAAAAATCCGAGCGGTTATTTCCAAGTTGATGAGTGATACAGTTTTTCGTGATGTAGATGTCATATGACTTAAAAAAACATAACATCTCATTTTAGAAATTTTTCGCTATTACAATACTTCCTTTTTTCTTGGGGTGGTCTAAACATGAGCAAATTCCCAGGTTCCAGTCGAAGGTAGAAAGGCTACTTCCCTCATAGCGTAGGAAGCCCTTTGAATCAGCGGCACACAATTCCAAAGAATCCAAATGGATATCGCGAATCCAATATTTTGCGCTATTCCTCGAATCCGATCCATTTTTAACGATTTTCAGTATTTCCTTTTGAAATCGTTCAAGTTGCAACTTTTGTTTTGACGTTCCTAAATGAGAAACCATATCTGCATTTGTGACGTATGTATTGAATCGTCGTTTGCGTTTCGTGGTATCTGAGATCTCAGAAACAGTCCTTTCATATCACGATATACTCAGAGCCAGTCTCTTAAAGCTTAAGGCTGAGCTTGAAGCTTTTGTGCGGTACAAAGCGACGTCCATAATTTTATAATGAAGGTCCATTTCCAGGGAGACATTTTATGGAAAATGAAAAAGAAATAATCAGTTCTAAGATTCAATGAAGATATGACTTTTTTAGTTTATCAGAAGGATGTTAGGATTGGCCTATCTCAATCCATATTTTATATTTACTAGCTTACAGGTCTGGTTGAAAGGATATCAGAAATCTGTTTTCGTGGTAATCTTGATGTGTTACTAATGCATAATTATTTTTGAATTCCCCGTTCAATTTAAAACAAATAGTTTCCCTTGTAATGTAATAATTGAAGAATGCAATTTAGCAACAAATATCTAGTTTCTCTGGAATATGTCACTGACTTTTAACATCCGACAAGTCTCTGTTATCTAAATCTGCTCGCTGTGACATATTTTTCATTATTTAGTTTTTATAATCTTGTTAATAATGGTGAATTATTCAAATGCAGAGATGGCGTAAATGCATTACGTATATGGCCTTGTCGACGGTAATGATGAGCAAGCCAGACGGATTTATCACCAGAGATATCCCGATCGTGCTTTGCCAGATAGTTGAATCTTTTCTAATATTCATCGTCGTCTTGTTGAAACTGGTTCTGTCCGAAAAGGAGCATCTTAAGTGTGAGAACAGCTGAAATTGAGGAAGCAGTGCTGCCCGAAGTCGAAGAACATCCTGAAATGAATACGAGGAAGATCGTTAGACACTTAAATATTTGCCATCAAATTGTTTGGAGAATTTTAGTGGATTTTTTCAAAAAGCCCACAAAATCCGCAATTCGAATCAATGATTCTGTTCACGGACGAAGCTAATTTTTCTCGAAATGCCATTCAGAATTTCCACAGTAATCATTTGTGGGCAGAAGAAAACCCCTATGCCGTAACCGAAACCCATTTCCAACACCAATATTCGGTTAACGTATGGGCAGGAATTATTGGCAATCACTTTACTGGCCCTTTCTTCTTGCCGGGACGACTTGACGGATCGACTTGCCTCAATTTTCTTCAACAACAGTTGCCTTTGCTGTTTGATGATTGATGATGTTCCGTCAGTAATAAGAAACAATATGTGGTAGCAAACGTATATTTTCTTAAATAGAATACCCTACAATCCATTGCATATTTGAATAGCGCGTCTAAAAACGAGAAGTTTGATATCACAAAATAAACGTACATTTGCTCATGAATTTCAAACGGAACTACCTGTATATTTCCAGAATGAACTAATTCACCAAATGCTTGTCGCTGCCACGCTCAGGCATTTAAGGTGCGCTGGCCAATAGCAGCGCTTAATTTGAACTAGGCGACGCACTTAAGCAGTAACCTAGATGCCTTAAGCAAGTCTTTCATTTAAAGTAATAAATATGTAGTTCGTTTTCTACGCTAAAATGCAGAATGATTCAGTGGCTGAAAATAAAATATTTTCTTCTAGGGTCAACAAGTATGAGACCTTTCCCGATGAAACTGAGCAGAACAAAGAAATCGTCGAGGACTATGTGTAATGAACAGTAATTAAAGTGATCTACAATGGGTATCAAGATGGAGTCGAAAAGAACAGTCGAACAAGGTAGGTAACCTTCGATTCATTTCAAATGTTTCTCTTAAAGAGCGGACTGTGACGACAACCAACTATACTAAGTGACATATAAATCCGAACACCCAAATTAAATGGTTTTATTTTAATAAAAGTTGGTGAATGTATTTATCTTACTGTAAATAACAAGTGAAAAAATTTTCAGCCTTATCAGTTGGACATTCCGGTTTTTATACTGCTTTTTTTTAATTCACTAACGCTCTAAAAATGAATATTTCAGCCGCAGTCAAGAATCAACGTTGGCGGATTTTGGTTCTTGACATCCTTTACGATCGGTTACGATGCCTAAAGTGCGGAGACCTGTACGATTTCGTCAACTTAGTGAGTTTGATAGGGGCCGTATAGTGGGACTTCGGGAAGCTGGACTTTCTTTTCGGGCAATTGCAGTTGGAGTGCAAAGAAGTGTAGACACTGTGGTTAGGTGTTGTCAGGCATGGCTTCGAGAAGGCCGTACGCAAGAGCAAGCGGCACTGGACGCCGCCGTAGAACAACAGACCGTGAAGATCGCCGCCTAAGATTATTGGCCTTAAGGGACCGTTTCTCCACTACCAGGTCCATTGCAAAAGAATGGTTTGCAGAACACGGAAGACCTATTGGCATGCGAAGTGTTTACCGACGAATGAGAAGTTTTGGCTTGTTTTCATACCGGCCACACTGGGTCCTCCCTTTAACTCGAGAACACCGACGTAATCGCCTTGAGTGGTGCAGACAACGGTCACTCTGGGATCAGGAATGGAACAGTATTGTCTTTAGTGACGAGTCTCGATTTTGTTTAGGCATGTACGATGGTCGTGTCAGGGTTAGAAGGCGACGTGGTGAAAGGAGGAATCCACAGTTTTTTGTTGAAAGACATGTTCATCACACTGTTGGAGTTATGGTTTGGGGTGCTAAAGCTTATGGTTCCAGATCACCTTTAATCTTCATCAGAGGTAACATGAACGCGCAGCGTTATATCCACGAAGTTCTAGAACCCCATCTTTTACCCTACTTCTCTGCCGCTTGTGTTTTTTTTCGTATCTCACTTCGTTTTCGAGAAAAAAAAAATAAAATCCGTTTATTGTAAATTGTAGATTACCGTAAATTGGTTCATTAATTTTTGCTAAAAAAGTCACAATTGGCTTGGAAACCAAAATAGATAAATTAGCCTCTTAATACAACAAATAATATTGCAAAATTTCAACAGAATCGAGAAAATATTTTTAGGACATTTATAATTTTTATTAATTTATTTTTTTAACAAGCAATCACCCTCTAGAATATCCCCATCTATTTTTCGAACACCCTGTATGTTATATGTTTTTGTTGATGCATTAAATTATATCGAACATCTGCGGGATCAACAGCAACATTGATGCTGTTCATCACTACCTGCAATCCAATCGTCCGCCGTGCTTTTCTTGGCGGAGACAAAAATCTCAGAGACTGCACCGATTAACCATCTCAACTTCCCAAACTACGAGGTGCACTCCAATCTGAGAAAGAACGGGGGAGTTGTGGCTTTTGTCCGCAGCAGTCTTTCCTGCTCCAGGGATCTTTCTTTGGAATCAGACCGGAAGGACATTCTGTGGCTTCGCCTCAACTCTAAAACATCACCCAAATTTATTTGCTGCCTTTATCGCTCTCCCTCGAACCATAACTGGGATGACCTACTCGAATACCTCGCCGTCCAGATCGACTTCCTGAACATCAATCACCCCGCTTCAGAGGTAGTTCTTCTCGGTGATTTCAATGCCCATAATGAGCTTTGGTTGGGCTCAAATAAGACCGATGCAGCAGGTCGTGCAGTCGAAGCGTTCGCTCTTACTCAAGGGCTGACCCAGCTGGTGACGAGCCTTACTTTTTTCCCCTGCGTCTCGTCACACGCCAGTAGCCTGCTGGATCTCTTTCTGACCACGCATCCTGCCCCTTACAGCACTGCTGTCCTGTCCCCCCTGGGTAACTCAGATCACGGTGTTGTGGGGGTTAGGTTTTGGTCAGAAGCTGCTGTGGCAGCAGAAACTCGCACAGGCCGCAAAACTTGGCATTACGGACATGCCGACTGGAAGGGGCTCAGAGACTTCTTCTCTAGCTTTCCTTGGAGAGATGTCTGTTTCACTGACGCGGATGCGTCGACTGTCTTGTTCTTCAATAACCGAAATTATCCACGTCGGAAATGGAGGAATACATCCCTCACACAAAATTCCTAAACCAGGGGTCCAACGGCTGGTTCAACAAATCGTGTGACACTGCTCGCCAGCAGAAGATCAAGGAACCTACTTACAAACCCCACTGTAGAGAACAGACAAGCCGACGTCGAGTCCAGAAACAAATATAACGAAGCGTTCGCAATGCCAAAACCCAGCATGATATAAAAGTTAGGCACAGGGTAATGTCGCAGCGCAATGGCAGTCGGTCTTTCTGGACGCTGGCCAAGAAAGATTGAAAAGAACTTCTCACACAGTAGCCTTCACCACTTAGGTGTCAGGATGGAACTATTGTATTCGACTCAAAGGCCATGGACGTCCCACCAACGCCCAAGTGCCGTCAATTCAAAGGGTTCCCCACACTATGCGGGAGGTAACATTCAGGCATAAGACCGTAAGACGAGTGCTCTTGTCGCTTGACATCAACAAAGCTACTGGTTCGGACTTTGATTCCTGCCACTGTACTGAAGAGGATGTGCAGCTGAGCTTGCTCCAGTTCTTTCGCGTCTCTTCCAGATATCTTATGAATCCGGCACCTCCCAGAAAACTGGAATTTGCTCATGTACAGCCCATCCCAAAAAAAGGATCTAAAACCGACCCTTACAACTACAGGCCTATAGCTCTGCTTTCTGTTATAGGTAAAGTGATGGAGAGGTGCATAAATCGCGAGCTTCTGGACTACCTCGAACGTCACACCTTGATTAGCGACAGGCAGTACGGTTTCCGGCACCAACGATCCACAGGGGACCTCCTAGCTTACGTCACGCAACTGTGGAGTAAACTCATCCAGTCTCATGGTGAGGCCTCATGTCGTTGCTCTTGACATCACGAAAGCGT